ATAAGGGAAACCATGGGACCTATGTTTCTTTGGGCCTGGCTTACTTCACTTAATATAATTTTTTCCAAGTCTTTCCATTTCCTAACAAATGGGGCAATGCCAGCACAGACTTTTTGAGTACAGTTTTCAGTTACATTGATTGCTTCTGTCACACATCACTTTATCTTCTTAGTGTGTTTTAGAGGTTTTAGTCTGTGGTTTGTTTGTTCCTGTAGAATGGACTTGTGATGCAGAAATCATGGTGGTAGGAACACATGGTGAAGGGAGCTGAAACCTTAGTGCCGTGAGGAAGTAGTCAGGTCCATTTAAGTAACAACTTCTATGTTTATGATACACATATATGTCCTGAGCTTGGCTTCTCATTCCTAAATCCAGACTTGTATACCCAGCTGTTGGTCTACTTTTTAATCTCTCTCTATCTGACTAGTTTACTTAAAATACAGTATGTAAAATTTTGCTCCAGATTTAGTCATAAACCTGTTCATCGGGTTTTTGGAGTTTATTTTTTAGCTCAGGCTAAAACTTTAGTACATTCTTAAACTTCTTTTTCTCTCCTGCTGTACCTCTTATCCATCAGCATATCTGTTAAGTCTATCCCAGAACATTTCCAAATACTGACAATTTCTGGTCTGGGATTAGATTGAGTTAAGGAAATCCTTTGAGATGCCATTGAAATTTCACCTTAAATATCAAAAGGGAAATGGTTTTGTGAAGATGTAGATGTTACATCTTTGCATTTGTTTTTTTGTCTTCCCTTTTTTATTCCTGTGATATTTTTTCACAATGAATGTACTGGAGCTTAAACTCAGGATCTCATACTCTTCCTTAGCTTTTTTTTTTTTTTTGGTCGGTCGTCGGGCTTGAACTGTGGGCCCTTATGAACGCTGTCGCTGTCCCTCAGCTCTTAAACTCAAAGGGAGTGCTCTACCACTTGAGCCACAGTGCCACTTCTGGTTTTCTGGTGGTTTATTGGAGAAGAGTCTCATGGACTTTTCCGGAAAAGCCTGGGCTGGCTTTGAACTGCGATCCTCAGATCTCAGCCTCCTGAGTAGCTAGGGTTACAGGCATGAGCCTTGGGCACCCGACAGCTTTTTTTTTCCCCTTCAAGGCTGGCACTCTACCACTTGGCCATACTTCCACTTCTGACCTTTTGGTAGTTAATATAAGATATATGTAAGCAAGGATACTTGTGTAAGATATTAAAACACTCATCCCAATTTTCTTTCCTCTCCCTATCAGTTTTGAAAAAATAATACAGAAGAGGGGCCTAATTCCAAACAGAGCTCTTAAGAGTGAATTCTTGGGAGTAGGTTTGAAATTGGGTTAGACATTTGTTATCCTTGCACATGTCCAGTGAAAATCTAGGGACCATGTGGCCAGCTGCTTGCCACTGTGGGGTTCCAAAGATACTTTGCATTTAACTGGGTTGATGGGGTAGCAGACAAAGTGCCTGGGCCATAGCTTGTACTTTGGCAACAGCATCTTGGTGCCTGGGTACATAATTGTGCCTATCAAATAGCATTTCAAAACTAGTAAGTCAGCAAAATTAAAAATATGAATCATGAGAATA